GCTCTTTTTAGTCCAACTCTCTTTTCTAAAAATTTTCTTTTTAGTCCAACTCTCACATCCATACATGACCACTGGAAAAACCATAGCCTTGACTAGACAGACCTTTGTTGACAAAGTAATGTCTCTGCTTTTCAATATGCTGTCTAGGTTGGTCATAACTTTCCTTCCAAAGAGTAAGCGTTTTTTGATTTCCTGACTCATTACTCAGTAATTCCTTCTTAAAACTCTTAAGGTTCTCTGAATGTCCCTATTCTCTGTTCTATCACTTTTTTCTTTTAATAAGTACAGGTTCTCTCTGATAATTCTATACACAGGGTTTTCCATTTCTTTTCTAGATCCTTGGCCTTCATATAACACTATGGCACATTTGTCACAATAACCTTTTCATATGTGACCCTGTTTTGTATTTAGAAATTTTTCTTCTTAGAAGACCAACCTCTTCTTTCAGTGTGAAAGCTTATGCTCCAATTATTAATTACACTGTGTCTTCTTAAAGTTGATACTCAAAAGTACAAAAGTGTAAAATAATTTCTAAAATAAAATAATTCTCCAACTATTCTCTGTTCCCTGTGAAACATTCTGCCTAACATTCTAGCTCTTTTCCCAAAGGCTAATGGGCTGGGTGCCTCTGCCCGCAGCTACTCAGGAATCAATGCATAGGAGCAAGTCAGTTGCTCCTGTGTTTAGTTATGTGTAATTGTATTTAAAAGAAACCAACTAAATAAAAGAACTTTTCCTTCAGGGACTATTTTATTTCCTGTAGTTAGGGAAGTGATTCACCATACAAGTACTAAGAAATTTGATACAGAAATAACAACAGTTAGTATCAACCACCACTTTGGGAATTATATAAATGTAATTAAACATATAACATATTTTAAATATATAACATATAAAAATATAACATTCTGTGTACAGGACGGATAGTACACAAATATGTATTTTATAAATTGTATCAATATAATTATAAGTATGTATATTATATGTAGTAATACTACATATGGAGATGTTATAACATCTAACACTTACCGAACATTTAGTCTACGATGAATGCCGTTGAGCACTTTATATAGTCTTGCAATTACTTTATTAGATTAGTGCTCTTAGAGTTTGTAATTGATTAAAAGGGGCCACAAATTCTTTAATCCTCTTTCCATTGAGGAGACTGCAGCCCCCTCCTTTAAATCTGGGCAAGCACTGTGACTGCTTTGGCCAGTAGTACGTGGAAAGGAGTGAAGCAGTGCCAGTCTCCAGGCCCAAATCATAAGAGCTGCTCTTTCCCATCTGTGGCACAGTCACTGTCAGAGCCTGAGGCCCCCACTGTCAGCACAACGGCCCTGCAGGAGACGCCTCCTGGAGAAGTTCTGAGCCTATCTGGAGCAGGAAAGGGGCACAGCGGAGCCCAACCTTCCAACCATCCCCAGAGAGGAACCAGGCTCCCAGGGAATTCTTCTTGGACTCTCTAGATCAGAGCAGCACCTGCTGAATACCACCAAATGACCCTGTCCCTGCCACTTGGAGCAGAAGTGCTGATAGCGTCCTGCTAAATTTCTGACTCATGAAACCACGAGATTTAATAAAAAGATCTTCGTGTTGTTATATAGTAATAGATAACTAGAACTGTGTTTTCTTGGTATAAAAGCAAAATCATATTAAGCAAAGTGACTTGTTCTGAATCACAGATCTAATTAATAGCAGCTGAGATTCCAATTCGAACAGCCTGCCTCAAAAGCCTATAATCTTAGCCACTCCACTGAATTATTTTAAAATTATAATTAACTTCGGGAGATAGGGCATATATAACATCTTGATTCTTCTTAGCATCTATTCTAATTCCTATCTAATGAAGAATTTCTGCCAAAGGCATATATCTTTTCTCCATCCACAATTATCTATTTGTACTTATTTTCACATCCTATTGATTTTTAAAATGTGATGAATTCCTCCAACAGATTTGCCTGTGTTTATTTTAAGACAGTAGGCTAGAGGTCCTCATTTCTCTTCTGTCTTCAGCATAGATCATATCAGCTGTGCTGCTTAATGTCAAAAGGGCAGGCTCATTTGGGGATTCAGGAAGTTGATTACTACAGTATTAAATGTGGTTTAGTAATTTTCCAAGGAGACAGAGATTCTGGGATCTTGGAAGTTTCCCTGATAAGCTATCATCCCATCTATTTTTTTTTTTCATCCCATCTATTTTATATTAGGATGCATTGTTTACTGAAGAGGGGGCAGGAGTGGGACAAAAAGGAGACTCAATACCAGCTTCTTGACAGCAAATAGACCTGTACCTGCAGTCTTTCTAGAGCCAAAAAGGTCAGGGGTCGAGGACTCAAGAGATACTGATGAAATCAAGGGACTTCAGCTAATTAAACACTTGAGCAATATGTTCAGTGATGTACACACTATTGTTTTCAAGACAGAATTGATAAACACAATGGGTGACACCAAGTGCAATTCTCTGGTTGTTGGACATTTACACCACAAATAAAGATTATCAACAAAGTCTAGACTTATTTATTTTTTTGCTATCACTTCCAAAACATTTTGATTTCAGCCTCTCAGAGAAGATCTCATTGAGGAAAAGAGTCCAGCAGTGATAGGCACAGAGTTATCAACGTTTCCTACAACTTAGAGCACAGTTAGCACACAAACACAAAACTCTCCTGAGTGCACTATTTTAATGATTCTTGTTACATTGGGCTTTCCGAGTTACACCCTAGAAAAATCTAACATAAAAGCATACATACAATTCTGAGACTTTAGTGATCACTCAGACAAATGGTTCTTAAACAGTGACTTTTTAAATCTTTCCCTCCGCTTCCAATAAAAGTAAAATTACAAGGTAAAACAAATGGTTCACATGCCAGGTGCTGTCTGAAGCTCTTTATGCTTATCTTCATAACCACTCTATGAGATGAATATTATTATCCCCACTTTATAGACAAGGAAACCGAGACTTGGAAAAATTAAGAACCTGCCTAAGATTACACAGATAGGAAATGGGGGAACCTGGAATTAAACCTCAGTGGACGGACTCCTAAACTATCCTCCCTCCTTAATTTAGAAATCAGAACAGCTCCACTTATTTGTGTGTTTACATGAGATTAAAAAATATATGATGGATTTGTTTTTTGAAAAGCTATGTGAAACTTCCTGTTTTAATTTAACCACAGTTTGGGTCTGTGAAGTGACAGAAGAGCCCCGCAGTTTTCAGATCTGCCCACGAAGGACTGAGGCTGTGCTGGTTGAGGAACCAGACCTCCCTGGTTCACAGTCTAAGGTTTTTCTTGGTATATTCAGCTGTTCTTGAGTAACCATAAATTAGACTGAGTATTTTTAATCTCCCCCCTCAACTCCTTTTATCTCTCCATATGAAAACATACCATTAGTGGGGAAAAATAGTTTTATTTTAACTTAGTCCCACTTCTAAAAAGGAAAAGACATCACGAGAATGTTACTGCCTTGATTTTAAGTGCATGACATTGATAAACAACTAATAAGGAGCCAGGAGGAACTGAGCCTCCATAAATCTTTGTGCTTCCCACAGAACAACAGCAGAATATTAGTGGACGAAACTTGAAGCTGCATCTTTTCCCCCTTTTATGGAGGTCTTGGGGTCTTGGTGAGGACAGTTCAGAGTACAATGTTTAAGATGTATGTAGAAGAGTGGGTCAGCGTTTAGTCTCTGGATTCAGACAGAACGGAACCTGAATTCTAGACTTCCACAGTTTGTGCAGCCTTGGGCAAGTTACCTAAGCTTCCTAAGCATTAGTATTTTCATTTGTAAAAGGTAGTTTAAAATAGCATCAAACACATTGAATTCTTGTAAGGGTTAAATCAAACAACTCCTGGTCCAACAACAGATTTAAAGAAAAATTTTTAAACTGTGCTATTTACTATAAACAGAAGCAAATCATAAAGAAATAAAAGCAATAAAAACATGATCATGCTATTTAATTCTCACTGGAAATGGTTGCCTTCTTAAGACTCAGAGCCTAAGGTCTGCTCTCTCTCTTTTTAAAGAAAGTTTTAAAAATATATTAAAGACATATTAGCACTAGATTGAGATGTTCTCCCTTTCTTAAGAAATAATAGCAGCAATATTTTCTTTCAGAAAACAAATAGTACTTCTTTCATTGTTCCTTCCAAACTTATAGAGAACTCATAAGTTCAGAGCAGCACTATTCACGATATTCAAGACATGGAAACAAACTAAATGTCCACTGACAAACGAATGGATAAAGAAGATGTGGTACATATATACAATGGAATACTATTCAGTCACAAAAAGAACAAAATAATGCCATCTGTGAACTTTCCAGGTGGTATCAGTGGTAAAGAACCTGCCTGCCAATGCAGGAGGCATAAGAGATGTGGGTTCAATCCCTGGGTCAGGAAGATCCCCTGGAGGAGGGCACAACAACCCACTTCACTATCCTTGCCTGGAGAATTCCATGGACAGAGGAATCTGGTGGGCTACGGTCCATAGGATTGCAAAGAGTCAGACAAACTGAAGAGACTTGATATGAACGTGTGCACACAATGCCATTTGCAGCAACACAGATGCAACTAGAGATTACTATACTAAGTGAAGTAAGTCAGAAAGAGAAAGACAAATATCGTGTGTTATAACTTATATGTGGAATCTAAAAGATGATACAAATGAACCTATCAGGGACACAGAGAACAGACTGGTGGTTGCCAAGGGGGAGGGGGTTGGAGAGGGTTGGATTTGGAGTTTGGGATTAGCAGATGGAAACTGGTATCTACAGAATGGACAAACACAGTCTTACTGTATAGCGCAAAGAACCATATTCAATATCCTGTGATAAATCATAATGGAAAAGAATAAGAAGAAGAATATATAAAATAACATGCATAACTGAGTCACTTTGCTGTACTGCAATAATTAACACAACATTGTAATTCAACTATACTCCAATAAAAAATACATTAAAAAAAACTTACAGAGAAACTCCAGATTCTCCTAACTGGTTCATCAGGCTTCCAGGGATAAATTTTGATGGCGGGGCAGGGAATCACCTTAATTTTCCTCAAAAAGACAGAGCAAACCAGTGCCTATGAGGAGATGAGGAAAAGTACAAATAAATTTTACATGGAATAATCAAAAATTATACTATAATATGTTCACTGTAAACCCAACCCATAATAGATTGTTCAAGACTAGAACTGTGAAACGAATGTTACTTTTTATTACTCCCCGAACTTTGCCAAAATCTGGTTTCAACATGCACAGTGGGCACCTACCTCCACCAGCCCAAATCTATATCCAGAACCCTGGGCAGCTGATAGGAGCTGACCTAGATCTCAGGTTTAACAGTATTTTCCTATGACAATTCACAGATAAAAGAATTAGGTCTGCAGAAGGTAGCTACAAGGCTTAATTCAAACAGGAACCAATACTCCAGAGTAACACCAAGGCTTCATAGGACTCGGAAATTAAAGACTGGTGCTACAGCACACAAACAGAGGAGGCCCTGGGCAAAGACAGCAAAACATACATGCATGTATAGGCACCAGGAAAAATAACAGTGAGAAGACTTCCCACCAAGGATACATAAACTATTCAAGGTATGCTCTGAAGTTTATAAGCCAGGCTGTAAAAAAGAGAGAAATTCCACACTTCTATGTTTTAAATTTGGTCTTGGTAGAACATATATTGAGTATGGTACCAAGTGCACACATTTTTAAAAAAGAAAAATAACACAGTTCACCAAAAAATGAGCATGGACTCTACTTTATCAGCATTTTTAAACACAGCTCTTAATATCTAAATATAGGCTTTCCATGCCAAAGTGGAGACAGATGTGCTTTAATATAATATCCTGATGTTTGTCTATTTCCTGATGACCCTCAGACTTCTAGGGTAGGCTTCTATTTTCCTTTTGAAACAGAGGTTGGTAAATGTCTATCTCAAATCCAACAATTCTGATCTACAGGGAATCCAACCAGTTTTTTCTTCCTTCTTTCAAATTTGCATTAGCCAGATCCCATTGTTTGTCAGTAGTTATGATCATAGACTATACTCAGAAAATAAAGTGAAAATACTATGACTTCAAAAGGAAAGCTTTAATTTCAAGCATCTATAATGCACTAACCTAAACATAGTACCAAAGCTAACTCAACAAAAGTGTAATTTTCCCTTTTATCCCCCCAAAACTGGATATTCAATAAATGCAGCTTTATATAAAGATGTGTAATAACTGGGAGAACCAAATGTTGCCTAGCAAAAAGCCTATTAAAGCATTAATCAAGAAGAATGGCTTGAAGCTAGCATGTTATAGTTTCGGAAGAAGCATTGTTAGCCTCTACAGGACACTAAAATGGTAGTTTCTCTCTAAATTACTATTTCTTAAATGCTTGAAAACACTTCAGCTCTCCTCAATATGCAATCATTTTCCTTTGGAATTTTGTTTATAGTCTTGTTAACAGGCTTTTATTTTCCCCCAAACAACTTTTGCAAAAAAGCCAACTTCATGACCTTTGTACAAATATCACAAATTCTAATTACTCAACTACAAATCAACACAATTTTACCATAATGTCTCTATGATGTTAGAAAATTATTAATAAATCAAATCCTTTTTAAAAATGCAATCAGGCACTCATTAAAAGAAATCGTGATCATTCCAAGCATTTTTTACCATGCAGATAATCATCTTTGAGTGGACTTTTAAGTTCAGACCTTCAGCAATGAATTATTTTTAGCAATGTATTATATTTAAAAGGACAACTCTGTAATTTTGACTCATGAAGACATCACACATCTACATGTTTCCTTAAAATGTAATGCCCTATGAATAGCAAAAAATACTTTGAAAACTTTAAATATTGAACATTATAAAAGGATAATCATGTATAAAATTATTTTTTTAATTATAATTTTGAAAAGTTAAAGACTTTCCACTGTTAAACTGCTATGGCAGGGAGGCTATAGCTTATTATTCCTAAAGATTAATTTTATGCTCTTTTAAAAAACGTACTAAACCGAGAGTGTCATAAAATCTGGCCCTTTATTTAACTAAGGATTTTGTACTTGTTAAAAAAAACAACTAATTCAGAAGTCAAAAGAGAGTAAAATTTTTCTAACCATGGAATATGATAGGAATAATCATCTCACAGGTAGAAACAAACCTGGGGACTCCTCAAAAAAACCAAACACAGCATCACCACATGATCTAGCAATTTTACTTCTGAGTATATATCCCCCACAAAAACCTGAAAGCAGGGACTCAAGCAGATATTGAACCATACCAATGTTCTTAGCAGTATTCTTCAAAGGTCAAAAGGTGGTAACAAGTCAGATATCCACTGACAGACGAATAGATAAACAAAATGTGGTATATACTTATATTGGCATATTATTCAGCTTTTACAAGGAAATTCTGACACACATTACACATGGATGAAGCTTAAGGAGTTATGATGAACAAGGTCAGTCAGTCTCAAAATGACAAACTTTATATGATTCCACTTATATGAGGCATGCAGAAAACCTAGAGAAGTCAAATTCATAGAGACAGAAAGTAGAATGGAGGTAGCCAAAGGCTTGGGGAAGGGGTGAATGCGGACTGTTGTTTACTTGGCATGGGGATTCACTGATGCAAGATGAAAAGAGATCTAGAGATGGATGGTGTGAGAGTTGCCTAACAATGAAAGCACTTAAAGCCATTGAACTGCACTTCTAAAAATGGTTTAAAAAGGTAAATTTCATGTTAACATATATTTTACCACAACAAAAAATGTGTGGCATTTTCAGCTGTGATGATAATCAGTGACTTTTAAATTGGAGCTGGATTTCAAGGAAACATAGATTCCCAAAAAGTGATCAGCACAGTGTCACAGCAAAGTGTCAACCCTCAACAGAGCTCCCCTGATGCCGAGACACTAGTAGTACTACCTTGTGAAGCTGGACTAGGCAACACAGGCAAGGGGTTAATTTTATATTTCATCCTGGTCTTTTTCTCAGCAGAAGACCATTCTACATATGGTTACTCCTCGGTAGTGAGTATCGGACTAAACTTCATCTACCCCTGAATTTTTTTTTTTTTTACTACAACACTGTTTTTAAAAAGAAAGGAAAGAGGAAAACAAGGAAGGTAGGAAGGAAGGGAGGGAGAGTGTAGAGAGAGGGAGGAATTATTCAGAGAAGAGTTTAATTTTAATAAAATGCTAGACATTTAATAAAATGCCAAGTGAGGGAAGGGAACTTACACATACATTTAAGTAAGGGGCAAGAAACAAGATCACATGTACATTTAATTCCAAAACCTCAACTATAATTATTCAGTGCTATGTAAGAATATAAGCTGAATCAAGGGTCTTAAATTCTGTGAAAAAGAAAACCTCCAGGTCATTACATTCTCATACGCAAGAGATGTGAGACACTTAAGCTAAATATGGAGTTCAAGTTGAAAATATGACCTAATCACCTCACATTAAATATTAAGTGTTCCTCATAACATGATGTCAATTGATGAATATTGAATTTAAAGTAACAGAAAGTAAGCTGAAAGATAGTATAGCATAGAGAGGAAGCATTTTTAATGCTAAATTATTAGATATATAAGGACTGTGATTTTGCACAGTGTCTGGAGTCTATGGATAAATTGGAAAAAAAAACTAGTTCAATAAAATAGTATGTAGTTGAACACATGAAAAAGAAACTTCAGTTGATTCTGATTTTTAAACCTCCAGGGATAGAGAGAAATGAGACTGACAATATAGATGGAGTCTCATGATGCTACATGAATGAACACATTAAACTATTCACAACCCATCATTTGGCATCAAAAAGTCTCAAATTACATGAAGAGCAATTTTGAGCCAGTGAGCATGAAAATAAGCCCAAAGAAAATCTGTACTTGGTGATTACATTAAGCCTCACATTGAAGAAAACTATCTAAGAAATTCTAACTTTTAGTAAGTATATTAGAAAATGGGAATTGCAGAGAATATACACAAGTATAAAATGAGTGACAACATATTTTAAAAGCTTATATACTAGACTCAGTCATTTAAAAATGTGCCTTTAAAAATAAAATTGAGGGTTAATTTGAGATTTATTATGAGTAAGAAGTACAGAAAATCCTCAATTTCTAAAGGTCAAAAAAAAAAAAAATCACTGGAAAGAATCTGTTGTCTCTATATAGGCATCAATTTGCAAAGAATTATCTAATTTTTTAATTTAGTATAGATATATGTTGATACTTGTAAATTGCAAATTCTTGATTAAAGGGAACTGTGTGACTCACATATTTTTTAAAAGATAAGAAAAATGAAAACTACAACCTTCAAAATATTATTCCAAATGCAACTGTTAATTTAAAACAATTATTCTGATAAAAAGTAATCAAGCAATAGCAAAGCAATTCGGGCATTTTTTAAAACAAACTGTTCCAGATAAAATAATATAGCTGCTCTTGGCATAATTATAAAGTTTGTTTAGGAAATAATACAGAATTATATGGGGGAGGGCATTAATATAATTCTGATATAGCATTTAATAAAATGTTATCTGAAGCAAATTTAAATTAGCTTAGAAATAAACATTTCCAAATAAATTAAGTATTGGCTAAACTATTTTAAACAAAGGAAATTGATAAATGGCCCGGTATCCGATTGAGACAAGATAGTTGGCAGAAAATCTATTCTTTCTGGTCTCAATAAAAATTTTATTAATGACTTAGAATAGAGAATGAGCATTAGGTTATTGATATTAATAAAAGTTTTATTTTGAGTAGGGAAAGATTGTGCTCAAATGCACAAGGATCTGAAGGAATTGGATATAAAGCCAGAAAATGATAAGCTACAGTCAACATAGAAAAATGCAAGCTACCATAGCATGAGAAAAAGAATTTGAAGCTAATTTAATTCCATGAGAAAGCATGGGAATTGGTAAGGTCAGAGACTACAGGGAATAAGAGAATAATAAGTAACCACTTAAAGAATGATAGGAAATAAAAGGTGGCCAAAGTTCTCTAAGTGCCCCATCTGTCTCTACTTGGGGCAGTCTGCTATAGGTAGATGGCAACGACTAGATAAGGTGAGTGTGATAGGCATTACCTAGTATATACCTAGTATATACCATCACAAACAGTGAAAGAGAAGTGAAATATATAGCAGAAGCCCATGGATGCTGAACACTGCCTCACACCAACTTCTGATTTTCTCGTTTTAATTGAGAGTCCATAGAAACAGAAATGAATCTTTGTTGCTGTTGATAATAATGAAATGAGATGAGCTAGATGGAGCACCAGGCTGAGAGTCAGCAAAGCTTGCACTGAGCAGCCTGCATTTCCTGCTTCACACAATGAAGTGGTTGAACTGCAACACTCCTAAGGTCTTTCCCACACTAAATCTACAAGGGGGATACTTTGGTCTTTAGAAAATAATCTGTATATAGAACAAAGAGCCTGTAGCAAATTTGTAGAATATATTACTCTGATAGAAGAGGCTGAATACATAACCAGATTCAAGAAAAAATGTAAGCCTTTGAGTTCTTACTCATAGTTAACACAAATTGAGTGTTTCTCATTGCTAGGCACTGTGCTAAGTACTTTATGTAGATTAACTCATTTAATGCTTAGAAGAATTCTTCAACATAGGTGTAATTATTATCTCCTCTTTACAGAGAATCCCTCTGGATCTCAGAGGTTAAATAACTTGCCCAGAGATGCACAAGTATTGATACTATGTGGTAACACTCCTGGACAGAGTCTTCATCAGTCCTTGACAAACTAAGAAAAGTAAGAACAATGGCATTCAATAAATATTCACTGAATAAATAAAACAACAACAGGTACACACCTACAAGCACATTGCCTTTTGGGAGATAATACAATGAGGAAAATGACAGAACATCTAATGAACACTACTGAATGCCAGGCACTTTACAAATAACTCATCTGATCCTCACAATAACATACTGAGATAGTCATCTTCATTCTATAGGTGAGTGTACAGAAGTCAGCCTTCCATTGCTGCGACCCTACCTGCACAGCTGCATCCAGAAATATGGCATTACAGACTAGGTCTGGAGCAGAGGGGAGAAGAGACCCCAACCAGGAAGAAGCCTATAAGGATGTGCTACAGTATCCCAGGCCCTCGTGGCTGAGTAATGAGACATGTGGTTGACTTGAATCACATTTTAGTCTGACAGCCTTCAACTTCCTAGTGTCTTCCTGTTTGCACTTCAATCACCTTTTGGGAGAAGCTTTATTTTGTATGGTAGTGGTGAGAAGGGATATCTCTGTCATCATGGATATTAATGAACACCCTGGATGTTAAAGAGGCTGGCTCTCCTCTCCCCCAGCCCTGTGCAGCCTTCTCAGGGAGGGAGGGTCCCCTTGAGTTAGGCTGAGCCAAGCGAATGTTTGTGCCCAGAACTCTGAATCCCAAGGCTGTAAGGAAAGGCTAGGATGGCTGGGGTCACACTTCTAACAGCTGCGCAGGCGGAGTGGCCTGTTTCGCAGGGGACCGGAGATGCTGAAGCTCTGGTGCCTGTCTTGAGGAGGCTGGTGATTCCCATGCCTCAAGCTGGTTCTTCAGCTCCCCAATCTGTAAGCCCCAAGATCCTTCTCACAAATTCCCTTTTGGTTTAAAATAAATAGAGCTGGTGTCTATTGCTCGCAACCAAGAAGCCTAAATGGCATTATGGATTGTGGATTGAAAAGTAAAGGCAGGTGTTCATGGAGTATTTAAAATCCATTCATGTCAGACCACTCTCTCGAGTGATATCTCTGTCCTCTGGCATCCCAGAACCCGAAGGATCACTGCCTGATGTGTGACTGAACATCGGCACCAAGTCACATCCTCACTACCAAATTCCTCAAATCCCTCCTCTCAGTTCCACCAGCTTTAAAGTGAACATTGTAAAAGCTACAGGATAACAACCCAGTTCTCCAGTTTGTACCGTTTATGTCATTTTGATATTTGACCCCCTTAAAATGAAACCCTTTAGTGAGAAGATAATGGGGAAAAAAAACAATGCTTGAAATGCTGTTGTGGATATTATAGTACTGATACAAAGATAATTGGTTTTAAATCAGCTCCAATAATTGTCTTGCAGGAAAAATCCTCACTCATCCCTGAGACAAGTCATTAAACTTCCCCTCTTTTTCTATCATCCTCCTACACAAACACACACATACACTGACTCAAATACATTCACACACAACCACATGCCTTACATTCTTTTTCACCCAGATCTAAAGAGAATGGCAAAGCCACCCTCTATGCTAACAGAAGATACTTTTTCCCCCAAATATAGAAGAAAATCCATTCAAAGAGTTTCCCATTCTGGGATTCTATTGTCTCTGCATTGGGAGAAAAGAAAGCTTCCTCGGGTTATTTTGAACTTTTCTTCATGGAGGTCTCCACCGACGTGGAGAAGCTGGATGAGAATATCTCTGGGAGAAGATGAGGCCAGGACTGTGAGGCAGGTCACGGAGAGAGTGAACATCCTATGCAATCTCTAGAAGAGAGGCCACCACTATGAGGTGGCTGTCCACAGGTAAGGTGATGCTACCCGTGAGTTTGTGACTGAAAGAGGAGAGATGGAGGGGAACAAGAGTGCCAGGATGAAACCCAGAAAAGAAGCCATCTGCAGGAGAATGTTCCCTGAAAGTATGTGGAGTAAGAAATACAGCACATTTCTTTCTGAAAGTTATTATTCCTAAGAATGCTCCTTCGAGCATGAACCCATGAAGAGTTATAAGTGGATTTTCTCTGACTGATTTTCCATGGATTCTAATATATGCCAATAGAAAAATGCTTATATAAACAGAATGGAATAGCATTTTATTCAATGATGAACCAGCCCAGATGATTAAAAAACAAACAAAAACAAAAACAAAAAAATCTTCTCTTAGCTGCCTATTTGCATTAAGCATATTTTTGCCCTCATTTTGCCTGGAGGCAAGCCAGGATCTTTGCAAACTACCTTACTAGCATTCATTTTCATAGTGCTTATTACAAAGTACTGTTTTGTAGGCCCCTTGAAAATCTAGTATGACCCAAAGTCTATAGTAGGTTCTCTTGTCCTTTGGAAATCCAGGAAAAATTGGCTTGAACCTCCCGATTCTGTGGCCAAGGGCAGTCCAGATTCCACTCCCAGTGTCTCCACAAAGCCCTTTAAGGGCCCATCTCTTGTGACAGCCTCCTGGCCTCCAGCTGCTGCAGGCTAGCTTTGCGCTGTCCTACCTGTACTCGAACACCAGGCCCTCCTTTGACCCCTTCATCACTTTCTTTACTGAAGGTATTGGGAGGGGGATGGAGGGAGCATTTCCATCTCAGAAATTCCAATGGAAACACTGGCATTACAGTTCTGAATAGTGCTGCAGCCCCTCCATCTTTGGGGCCCAAGGCCCTTCACCCCACGCTCTCAGTCTGCAGGCCCTGGTGCTGCCTTCCTCACCTATCAGGCACCATTTCTCGTGCCTTCCTTGATTGGCACCAGCCTGCTCCCCAGCCTTGCATCTTATCTTCTGCCTGTAACAGTTACAAAAATGATGGCACCTTTTCTTGACAAAGAAAGTTACTTCATGGGGGATTCCTTGGCTGCCCAGTAGTTAGGACTCTGCACTTTCTCTGCTGAAGTTCCCGGGTTCAATCCCTGGTCACAGAACTCAGATCCTGTCAGCTGTGTACTGCAGCAAAAAAAAAAAAAAGAAAGCAGGAAAGAAAGAAAAAGATATTTCATGAAAAGGAATTGGGGTGCCAGCCATTAAGATTAAACAATTCTATTTCCCTTACTAGAGGAAAGAAATGAGGGTAGCAAAGATTACAGAGGAAAGGGGAGTTGACTGTATGTAGGAAGCTGGGGAACTTCCAGTCACCATTCCTTGAAGTAAACTCAAGGTGGACTGGACTCAGTGGGCCTGATCAACCAGGGCCTAAAAGGACTTTAAGTGAGATGCAGACAGTCAGGTTTCTCCCTGACTCAAAGCGACCAATCCAAAGCCACGGCTTTATGCCCAAAGGCTTGTGCTGTAGACATTTTTTTAAAACTTTTTTTTAGGTGAGAGACAAGAGTTCCAGACCTTTTCCTTTGCCTATTTTAATCTTTGATTTTCTATGCAGTTCGACACAAGATGTTGCTCTCCTAATACTGCAAACCCACTTCTATAAATATCAACATGAAGAATAGTTTTGAAAAGTTCTAGGCATTATGGCAAGGGTTTATCAGGAACTGGAAAGGTGGTAACTATCTGTTTAAAGAGGGAGAAACACAGAGAGAGAGAGAGAGAGAGATGGAGAGACAGAGAAAGAAGAGAGGGAAACACCTGAAAAGAAGATAATGCCCTCAAAACAACAGCATCCAAGCTTCAAATAGCAGTGCACTGCCTTCTAATTTCAATTTGACGTGTGCAGAATTCTTTCTTTTCCAATGCCAAATCCTGAATGAAGCATGCAATGAAAATTACTGCCTGAAACATGGTGATAGCATTTAATCCTCTGGCAACACATTAGAAAGGCTTTCAGCTTTAAACGGAGGACTGCCACACTGCAGCTTTGCTCATGAAATTATTTATTCATGCCTTGGTTTATAAAGTCCTTTTTTATATGCTTTCTATCAGCTAAGAATGGGCTGGAGCATTTATGTGCTCAGCCTGATAGAGCCCACATTATGAGGGTGGATGTCTGATGCCTGGCACAGAATTGCTGCCTGGAGGGAGCTGGGCCATCTGCTTGTGTGGTTTCAGCATCAGAAAGTTGTGAAGACTGTGGCAGGTTGGGGCACCTAAGTGACCAGAGTAACAGTGTGTGGGAAAGGTGATGAGGGAGAAAAGAGCATCTGAAAGCTTCTGGCAACTGGGTCCCAAATGTCTAGGGCAACATGTACAGGAGGGGAGAAGACTTGACAGGTGCAGGATAAACATAAACCAATATCAGTGATCTTTAATTAGTGGCAATGTGTGCATACCAGGGCTGACTTCTCTTTTGTGAAGGTGAAAAAGGTGATGGGAGAGGACATTGATTTGCTGGGCAAATTAAAAGCAGAGGCAGATGACAAAGGAAAACCTACATACTTAAGGGACCAAATTGATTCAAGTCACTTCAGTATGTATTTATGTGCATGCAGTTTATATCTAAGGAAAGGGAAGGCTGCAGTGGGAACAGAAACTTATTTAGATCATTCTAATCCACTCATTAAAATAGAACTACGAGTATATATTCTAGTATATACAAAGAGTCGCACGCAACTTAGTGACTAAACAACAACTAATGTATAATACTCAAGTAGCTTATCCCTTCCCTGACCTTTCTGACATGGTCAATTCCTACTGTCAAAAATTTTCATTTGACCATATAACCTCTTTTCCTCAACACTTACCACAGTGCCTATCACTTAAGAATTTAATTTTGTGTGTCTGTGCATGTTTATATTCCAAGAGGATTCCACAAGGGATTGTATATTTTCCCCTCAGCTAGTACCTACAGAGAACCTGGCACTTCCTACTGAAAAAAATACTATGAATGCAATAAAATTAAATATCTTTTAAATATATTAATTCAGACTTTCCACTAAATACTGGTTATAATGAAATTACACTAAGGGGTGTGCAAATCACCAAAATGATAACTGAGAGGAAAAAATTATTCTGGTAAAATAATGATAATCATGGACAATGTTAAGATCCTTTTGCTTTTAGGAATGGTGAAATAATACAAGAAAATAAAGCTCAAAATCTCTAATGGCATGGTTATATAAACACCTTATAGAGTAATCCAATGAGTTAAGTTTTCACCCGAATTTTAACTTATATGCAGAGTACATCATGAGAAATGCTGGGCTGGAGGAAGCACAAGCTGGAATCAAGATTGCCAGGAGAAATATCAATAACCTCAGATATGCAGATGACACCACCCTTATGGCAGAAAAGGAAGAAGAACTAAAGAGCCTCTTAATAAAAGTGAAAGAGGAGAGTGAAAAAGTTGGCTTAAAGCTCAACATTCAGAAAACTATGATCATGGCATCTGGTCCCACCACTTCATGGCAAATAGATGGGAAATAGTGGAATAGTGGAAATAGTGACTGACTTTATTTTTCTGGGCTCTAAAATCACTGCAGATGGTGATTGCAGCCATGAAATTAAAAGATGCTTACTCCTCGGAAGGAAAGTTATGACCAACCTAGACAGCATTTTAAAAAGCAGAGACATTACCTTGCCAAAAAAGGTCCATCTAATCCAAGCTATAGTTTTTCCAGTGGTCATGTATGGGTGTGAGAGTTGGACTATAAAGAAAGCTGAGCGCCGAAGAATTGATGCTTTTGAAATGTGGTGTTGGAGAAAACTCTTGAGAGAGTCCCTTGGACTGCAAGGAGATCCAACCAGTCCATCCTAAAGGA